TGTGCAGGTAGTTGGCGAGGCCCAACCACTGTCGTAGGTCCTTCTACGACCGAGGTGGCGGCCAAGCCGCGATGGTTTTCACCTTCTCCGGGTCCGCCCGGACCCCGGCGCTGCTGACGAAGCAGCCCAGGACCTTGATCTCCTCAGCTTCGAACACACACTTGTCGATGTTGGCGTACAGCTTGTTCGCCCGCATGACTTCGAACACACGTCGAAGGTGCTGGAGATGCACCTCCATGGCCGTCTGGCCTGCCTCGGCACGGCTGTGGACGAAGATGTCGTCAAAGTACGTCTGTGTGAACGCACGCAAAGGTCGGAACAGTTGTGTGACCAAGCGATTGAACGTTGCCGGGGCGTTAGAAAGCCCCTGAGGCATGACCAGCCACTCCCAGAGCATACCGCTCGGCGTGCTCACAGCTGTGAGTGGGATGACGCTCTCGCGCATCAGGATCTGGTAGTATCCGTCCACCAGGTCCAGCGCGCTATACAGCGTGCAGCCAGCCACGTTGTTGAGCAACACGTCCTTGCGCGGGATCGGTGTCTGCGCAGGCACTGTCGCGCTGTTCAACTTGTTATAAGCATGAACCAGACGCCACTTTCCGTTCGGTTTGCGAACACAGAAGGTAGGCGTCGAGTGCGGGGACTTCGACTCCTGCATCATGCCTGCCTTCGCCTTGGCGGCAAAGAAGGCATCAATGACTTCACACTGCTCCCGGGGAAGAGGCCATTGCCTCGTGACAAGTACTTCGTGCCCGGCACGAGATCGATCTCGTGCCTGATTCCCCTGTCCAGAGGGAGATTGGACGGTGTATCCTTGGACACCACGTCCTCGAACTCCTTCACCAAGGGGTACACCGGGTCCCGGGGGTTCTTAAGAATCTCAGAGCCCATGCGCGACGCGCGCTGTCTCTAGAACTCCTCCATGACTGCCGGGTCCATGACCGAGGACGAGTTCAACTCGGCAGACGTGGACTCCGGTCGGAGGAGAACCAACTCTGCGATCTCCCCGGCCTTTAGCTCGGCCAAGAAGTCCTCCATGGCGAGCTCCTCAAGGTTCAGCAACTCTGAAACCTCGGGCAGAGCTGTAAGCTCGACAGCTCCTGTCTTGACCCGACGACCGGTCACGCCGTCGAAGATGTGATAACACTCTTCGGCGGCTGGAGCCTTGGCTGGAGGCTCGTAGTCGCTGGCGACTGGCGTCGTCGGCCACACGACTAGGCCCGGCTTACGACGTGACCCTCGGGTGTCTTCGTCTCGTGGCGCCGCCTTGACGGCACCACCGATCTTCTCGATCTCGTGCGGAACTACGTTACCCGCCTTGTCCTTGAGCGGAACTTGGTTACCCGCCTTGTTCTTGAGCGGAACTTGGTTACCCGCCTTGTTCTTGAGCGGAACTTGGTTACCCGTCTTGCTGGGTGGAACTATGTTACCCACCTCGCCGTGTGGAACTTGGTTACCCACACCAGGAGCGCTTCCAGCGACTCCCGCATCAGTTATGGTCTGAGTGACCTCCTGTGGAACTATGTTACCCACATCGGAAGCGACTGCAGTGCCTTCCTCATCAGTTACGGAACTTGGTTACCCACGCCAACGCCAGCGGCGCCTTCACCAGCAGCCCTTGCTGCCTGCGGTACTTTGTTACCCGCGTGTGGACCTACGTTACCCACCTGGTAGGTGCTGTCCGGCACCTCCACTCTCAGGCCTTGTCCGGCCCGGTCGGGGTCGTCGTCAGTCTCGACGGACCCTAAGAACTCATTAGACGCTGCTGCGCCCTGGCGGCCCTCGCGGGCGCCCCAGCTGCTACCAGAGGTGGGAACATGACTCACCAAAGCTCTGTCAGAGCGTGGGGGACGGCTGGCCCCGATGGCCTTGCCGCGCCAGTCGATCCAAGGCTCGTGTTACTCCAGCCACGGCATGCCAAGGATCAAGTCGTACTTGTCCATGTCTAGGCCCAAGAACAGCTCCGTGCTGTCGAAGTCCTCGAACTTGACAGTGAGGTCCATGTGGACCCGAGGTACTTCTACCACCGTACCGTCGGCCAGTCTTACCGAGACCAGTCCTTTGCCTTTGCTGCCTCGTAGCGCATCGGCGTACTTGTCGCGATTGCGTGCGACAGTCTGGCGGCGCACAAAGTTCTTGGACGCCCCAGAGTCGATCAAGATTCTCAAGGGATGATCGTATCCCGGTACACTCGCGTGCACCACAAGCAGCCCACCGCTGCCCTTCTCCGCTTCGAGAGTACAGAGACTCTCAGGGGCTAAGTCCCCATGGCGTGCGCCACTCGCACGCCCCTCATGAAGACTTAGTGTTTCCCCAGTAGGGCGCCCCGCCCCTACTGGTGTCCGGCGTTCCCCTGGTTCCTGGGGCGCGGCTTCTGCCAGCGACCCCTAGAGCCAAAGGGCTTCGAAGAGAACTTCTTCTTCAGTCCTCCCGCGGGACAAGCACGTTTCATGTGCCCAAGGTTGCCACAGCCGTAGCAGCGAATGTCGCTCTGCTCGGCCATGCCCAGATCCATGGGAACCGGCCCGTTGATGGCTCCATTGCCGGAGTTACCATTAGACGCACCGCCAGAGGCAGGGTTGCTCTGCCATACCGTGGCGGGGGTACGAGCCTGCTTGTGGCTGTACTCCTCCTGGAGGGCGATTTGAATCGCCTCCTCCATAGTGTTTGCTTGCACACGGAACCGTTGCGTGCGGGCAGGACCGACACGCAGACCGTCCATGAACACGGTCACCTTGATGTGTTCAGGCAGGGGGTTCCCCACCAAAGAGGCAGTGAGCACTCGCATCTCCTGGATGTACTCATGCAGCTCGCGCCTTCCTTGTTTGCAGGCGAGGAAGCGCGAACGCTGGCGGTACTCGTAGTTCGCCGGAAGAAACGCGGCCCGCAGCTGCTCGCACAGCTGGGACCATGATGCGAAGCATCCAGGCGTCGTCGCTTCGCGCGTATACGACCAACTCTTAGCGCGACCACTAAGGTTGGAGAGCGCAAAGGCGACACGGAGTCGCTCGTCCGAGACGAGAGCCGCGTCCATCGCGAGCTCAACCTCTCGAACCCAGAAGTGAAGGTTTTCTCCTTCCTTCCCTTCGAAGGGGTGAACCTTCAGCCGCAGGGGCTTCGGTTGCACCGGCTTCGGCGCGGCCGCAGTGGCCTGCAGCCCTTGAACGTGGGCGATGAGCCCTCGCTCGTAGGTGTCGAACGCGTTGATACGCTCAACCTGCTCAGCCGGCGTCGCCGCCGCTAAGCTACGCAGGGCATCTGTCCCAAAGATGCCTGCCATCTTACGAACGGACTCGTACTGCGAGTCGTTCAGATGGGGAAACTCCGTACGATCCATCTTGGCTCACTCAATGAGACCACAGAGGATTCAGGTAGTCCAATCTACACGCGTAGGCGTAGGATTGACTACAAGTGCTACCAAGTGTGACGGGGCACACAGCACTTCTTAACAGAGGAAGCAGGAGTATACAAACTCCAAGTGAACAGCCGTTCACGTGTCCCTGGTCTGAAGGGGACGACTTGACTTGAAAAGCGGTAGATCTGAGACTGATTGTATTTATAGGTTGGTACAGATTTGGCCTGCATACAAATCCTAAGTTCCCTATAGTTGTGTCATACAAAATGTATCTGTTGGCTCTGAGGCCACTTGGGTCACTATCCAGGGGAGTGACCGATATAGCCATCCCGGAATAGTGACAGGGTCACTATTCCATGTAACCCCGTTACAATACCCCAGCAAAAGCAAATTCTAACGCAAGTGGGGGCACTTCGGTCGATACCCCCACCCACCCACCGACACCCTGGCTGGTTGTACTCACTGTGAGATGTCAACCAGCCTGGTTGAACGAGGCCATGGTTGACACTGTCAACTTGACAGACTGACAGACATGCGCGGGCAATGCGTGCACCCAATACTGCAGTGCTTGCAGCTGTTGCTTGGCAATGCCAAGTTGGAATGATCACCGAGCTGCCAGCCATGTTGGCATTACCGCGACGCCGATGATCTCGGTGGAGATCGGCTCGGTCTCTCGTGCGGGACTTGCCTGCTCCGGCAATATCCTCGTGCTGCCTTCTTCCCTCGGCGAATCCAATTCGAGTCAAGTCAACGAGGGAAAGCCTTGTCGACAACGATGTCGTCGGGGTCCCCGCCGATCGCTCACGCAAGCCGCCACACTGCGGCCCGCAGAGGAGTGGTGAAGACTTTTGTCTTCAAGGCAACACGAGGGCCTTCCCGCGGGAAAACTGCGGCTCTCTGCATGGTGCCAGGTTAAAGAGTTACAGGTTGATCTGCAGGATCCACACCTCTCATCGCGTGAGCTCTTGGCGCCGTCGAGTTTCGACTCGAAGCCCCGGGCTTGGACTGGACGGCGCGGCAGCACCAGCGCTCACCAACTGCCGGCTTGGATCGACGACAGTCCGGCTTCTTGTACCAGCTGCACCGCCGAATATTTGCTACCATTTCCACCGTGACATGCGAGATGTCAGCGCGCCGCGAGTCGAGACTCCAGCGGAGAGCTCTCCAGGGCAGACCACACCCGCGCAGCAGCCATCAGCGTCCGCCTCAACTTGTGTCCAAGAGAACACCTGGGCGTCCACCGACCGGTCTATGCATGCATGCATGTGTGCATCCAGCGTGATAGATTGGATCCCACTCTCTGACTGATGGAGATGCGCGCCCAGGTCCGCTCCAGCAGCTGTTCCCCCTTGTCGGTCTCTCAAGTCACGCGCCGCCGCGGGTCGCGTCATACGCGAACGCGCTCGCAATGGAGGAGAAGCGCAAGCCCAAGCCGCACGACGCACCGCGGCGCCGGCCGCTGCCGCCCATGCCCCGGCCGGTGTCCGACTCGGTGCTGTCCTTCTTCCTGGACTCGCCGTCCTCCTCGACGTCGTCCTCCGAGAACTCCGGCTCCCGACTGCGCAAGGCCACGAGCGCCGAGGAGCCCGCCGCCAATAATGACCAGCGCCGCACGAGCGTGCGCTCGGGCGTCATGCTCGACTCCATGCGGCGGTACGCGCCGCCGCTCGGCCGCAGCCGCAGCGACGGCGACCCGTTCCTCAGCAGCAGCAAGTCGAGCAACAGCAGCTCGCGCCTCGTGCCTCGCTCGACGTCCAGCACGACGTCGTCTCGATCCACGACCACCACCATGTCGTCGCTCAAGTCCAGTCGGTGCAAGAAGCGTCCGCGGAGTCTGGCCAACCACCTCGGCGGCTTCCTGCTGCACTCGGTCACGCCCCGAGAGTCGTCGATCCTGCAGTACACGTCGCTCGTGTCGCCCGGGACACACACAGAGTACGACTTGGTGCTCGAGGACTCAATGGTCTCAGGTGACGGAGCGCGGTGGGTCGTCTCGAGACGCTACTCAGGCTTCAGGTCGCTGCGCGATGAACTAGCGCGAGTCTTTGACCGCCGCAACCACCCAGGAGCGGCGAACGACAGCACCCACGCGCACTGCAAGCACTGCGCGCCGATGAACGAGGCGCTGGACAAGCTCAGCGCCAAGTATTTCCCCAAGCGGCGGCTCTGGGGATCCAAGAGCCCCAAGGTCGTCCAGCAACGCGCAGAGCAGTTCTTCAAGTACTTGCAGGGTCTGCTGGCCCTCGCGACGAATCCGTCGACGCGTCGATGTCCGCTCGTGGCGCTGGGTTTCGCGGTTCAGCTCAGGACGTTCCTCACGCTCGAGCGCGAGCCGTACCGAGGCGTTCCAGGCGCGTTTGGGGGCGGAGCGGTGCCGTTCCTGCTCAACGAGATGACGCTGCTGGAGGCGCGCCCAGACAACGCCACCACGCTCATGACCATTGACGAGCTCGATGCTGGCTACGCAGACTCCACGGACGAGGAGTACGACATCAGACACCGCCACAACAACATGGATGACAACAGCCATAGCTCGATGATCGACTTGGCGTCGCCTGTGTACGTGCTCGAGGAGCAGGACGACCTCCGCTCGTGGGACGAGCTGGAGTAGTGGGAGGAGATCTCCGTTGCCAGCGCTGATTGGGGCACTGGCAGACACTAACTGAACCATACAAGGTAAACTACCGAGCGACAGACACAAGCACAAAACGTACACTAATTCACAGCCACCAACGGCCAAACCGAAGTCCATCGGAAGACTTCCACGGCTAGTTGGTTTCGGTACCTTATTCCACTCACTTTTTGTCTGGGTATTTGACAAGTTTTCGGGTTTCCGTTGCTGTGATGTGGCGGCTTCAGTCGCGCTCCCCACTCACTCCTTCCGCTTCTTCGTCGGTCTTCGATCGTCTGTGCACGGAGATGAAAGAGGCCGACGTCCATTTCAGGCGTCGCTCTTCTGGTTGAGCGCCACGATGATCACGCTGACGTTGTCGTGCGCGAAGTACGCCTGGGCCTTGAGGACGAGCTCCTGCGCTGCGAGCTGCACGTCGCCGTGGGTCTGGAGCTTGCGCAGCACAAAGTTCACGGCCTGCTGTGACGTCAGAACGTCGAAGAGTCCGTCGCTAGCGAGCAGCAAGAACTGGTCCGACGGGTTCACTAGGTGCTCCACAACGTCGGGCGTCGCGACCAAGTGACCGTCTTGCTTGTGCGCCAAGTCGCCAAAACCACGCGAGATCTGCAGAATGCCATCCAGCCGCCCGTTGTGGACGAAGCCACCGGACGCTTCGATGCGCGCTTTCTCAGCTGGAAGAGAGGCCTTGTGGTCTGTGGTCAAGTCGATTGCCACGGCGTCTGCTGTACACAACACGGCACGGCAGTCACCCACGTTGGCCACGTAGAGTCGGGTAGGCTGGTCCTCTTCGTCGTCCTCGTCCTCCTTGGATTCGTCGCCACTTTCACCTTCCGTGGCCTTCTCTGCTTCTGCGTCGCCATCCTCGTTGTTATTCGTCCGCCGGCGTTTCTTGCGCTGTTTCGCCACCACAGCGAAGACACTTGCAGCTCCGGAGAACGAGATTGGCTGCAGTAGCGCCTTCATCTCATCTCCGCAAACGACTTCGCCGTCAATCTCGCAACATTCGCCTTCCGTGAGACTGGGATCGGCGTTAGCTTCGCTCCTGAGGTACCGTTGCAACTCTTCCGGGGCCATGGTGCGCTTGCGCTTGGGAAGAACGCTGAGGTTTTGCTGCTCCAAGATTTCATTGTCGACCGCCTCGCATACAGATGAGATGCACGTGACCGGAGACTCCACGAAGCCAGTTCCCTCGTTGAAGAAACGGTGGTGCAGCTCGTTTTGCAGCTTCACAGCAGTGCTGGTACCGTTGTGGCCATCGTACACTGCAAAGAAAGCCAATGAGGCGTAGGAGTTCGCAAGGGCAGACGGGTAGCGCGATAGATCGCACGTAGTTTGTCCAGTGCTGCGATCTTCCATGTACGACCGAGCTCCCTTTGCCTCAGCGTAGCCTGAGCGGATTGAGAGCGTGAGGTTTTCTCGAATCTTGCTACTCACGTAGACTTGCACGATGTCCAACAGCGGCGCGGGAGTGGCCATGGACAGAGCCGACGAACTAGAAGTCATCGACGCCAGTGAACCAAGAGTGAGAACATTTCCACTGTTGTCCACATCCAGTGAAGAGCATGCCGCATCCACCATGGACGTCAGAGACGGCTTGGCAGTGATGATAGGCGCGATTTCCTCATCGTCGTGGCTAATGAGATCAAGCTGGTGAGTCGGCGACGTGATGAGCTCGCTGAATGTTGCGTCAACGTCCACATCGCACTCAACATCAGAGTAATCCGAATCGTCCGAGTCGCTATCGGCGTCCGAAAGCCCTTCCAGGCCAGACGTGTGACTGCTGTTTGCGCGGCTTCTGTCACTAGAGTGGTGGTGGAAGTGCCGCGAGGAGGCACCGCTGCCCTTACGCATAGCCTGGTGATTCAAAAGATCATCGTCGTCCTCATCATCAACTTCCGTCACCTGCACGCAGTCAATGCCTTCCATGTCAAACTCTTCCACGTTGCCATCGTCGGTGACCACAGAACGAGACGAGCTGCTGATGGAGCCAGCACTTCCGGTCGATGATCGACGGCTGCCGTTGGTTCTGCCCAATGCACCTATTGTGCTACCCATTGCGCTACCCATTGCGCTGCCCATTGCACTCCCCATCGCGCTGCCCATGGCGCTACCGCTGCCTGCGCTACCATGTCTGCCTCCACTGCTTAGTCGACCCCCACTGCCAAGTCTACCGGCGCTTCCCAATCTCCTAGGCTTGCTCGATGCAGATGAGTTGGTGGAGCCTGCCCGACCCGGGGGCAGCAATTCCCGTCCTGAGTTCGAATGAGTTGGAACTCGAGAAGCCACGGAGAAGTCGTCATCTCGCGCCTGGAAGAGAATCTTGCGTGTCTGATAGTCACCGCCCTCGTCACGGAACACTTCGGATGTAACCATGAGAAAATCTTTCTTTCGCGAAAGCGACCGCTTCATCAGGTCTGCGTCCAACTCCGCATTTGATAGACTGCTGCTAGACCGCCCCGCGCTCCCTGCTTCGCTGGACGAAGACAAACTACCGCGCTCTTCAACAGGTATAGCTGCCAACTCGGAGAGTTGGGATACAGATGTGAATGACGTACGACCGAAGCCTTCGAGGTTGCCAGAGTCTTTGTGCACTCTGCGAAAACTCGTCTTTTTCACCAACAGCGAGTTGTCCACAGAGTTACTTCGGCCACTTGGGAATGAGCGTGATCTTGGTGAGTCAGTTGTAGGGGTATCACCCCCCACTGTAGAAAGTGACGAGACTGACGACGCCGATGAAAGTACTGACTGCTCCCTCACTTGTCGAAGTGATGCAGCCGATGACGCACTTGGGTAGCGACTGCGAGCAGTAGGCTTGGCAGCGGGCAAAATAATTTCCGTCACCTTTGCACGATCCACCGAGAACGCCATGCGCTTCTGCTCAATTAGCAGTTCGCGTGAGCGCTCAGACAATTCCTTGTGGCCATCCATAAGCTGAACACGCTTGTGGTGGCGCCACGCGCAGATAATGCGAGACACTTCATCACTCGACGCTCGGCTCGGACTCATGGACGTTGTACTGCCGACTGTGGCAACCGACGATGTGGTTGACGCTGACGAAGGAATGCGGGAGCCCAAGGTCCCCGATACTGGAGTGCCAGTGAAGTAGCGTCCACTGTTCGTACGCACAACACCAGCGCCAACACTTTGCTGCCGTGTCTTCACCAACTGGTGGGCTTGAGCAAGACTCTCCGTCAACCGCTGATCAATACGCTCCGGAATGTTTTCAATTGCACATTCACTTTCATCGATAGACACGGTGAGATCCTTCTCCGGCGTGATCAAGCCAAGCGGCTCGCTGCCCTCCTTGGTAATCCACTCGTGCGCAAAGCACTCCTTGAGAGAAATGCGCAAGGCTGGGTCCTTCGTAAGCATACGCTGCAGCAAGTTTTTCAAATGCGGCTCCATCGTGCGCTCCACATCCTTCGGGAAACGTAGCTCCACACGTTGAACACGCTCCGCCAGGAGAATCTCGTTGTCTGCCATCCACGGCGGGTGACCAATCACCATCATATACAATGTAGCGCCAAGTGACCACACATCGACAGCGGGGCCCTGGTACGTTGCATCGATATCAAACATCTCGGGGGCCATGAATGCAGGAGTGCCCTTTGCTCCGGAGATGGTCTCTGTCTCGTTCATGATCATTCGCGCCGTACCAAAGTCAGCAATCTTGGCTACACCCTCAGAGCTGACGAGAATGTTCTCCGGCTTGATATCACGGTGAATAACCTTGTGGAAGTGCAGGTACTGCAGACCAGTGAGAAGGTCGCGCATGTACTTACGAGCGACCGGCTCATTCAGCCGGCGAGCCTGAGTGACTTCCTCCATTAGACTGTGCTGCACGTATTCTTGAACGAGATACATCTTCTGGCTGTTGGGGTCATCAATTACCTCCACAAGGCGCACGACGTTGCGATGATTCAGCTTCTTCATAATAGCCACTTCACGACGCAGCACGTCGTACAGCTGATCCTCCTTGCCAGCCATGCGCTGCACGAAAGTCTTATGCATGATCTTCACAGCGTACATCTGTCCATCCTTCTGGCTTTCACAGAGCTTAACACGGCCAAACGTGCCTCGGCCCAGATCGCCCTTAATCACGTACTTGTTGACCACAACCTGACCGTTTTTAAGCCGATGCTTCACCAGCTTCTTGGTTTCTGTCGCTTTCACGGGTGATATGGGAGCTGGAGGCGGCGCCACTATAGAACCTGACGAACTGTTCGCTCCGGAACCTTCGGCCTGTGGCGTGGGGGCATTGGATGCGGCACTATTAGCACGCTGCTGCAGACGCAGTCGCATGGCACGCCGCGTAGCCTTTTCCACGTAGGCTTCCTGAATAAACCGTTGGAAGTGGTCGGAAAGGAGACATTTGTCAAAGTCCTCCTTACTCAGGTACAGGCACTTGACTGGGCCCACCGCTCGCACCGAAGCCGTACGAGGCTCGCTGTAGATGAGCGACATCTCGCCGAAAACGTGGCCCTCGTACAGCCGCGTCAATTCCTTTTCATACGGTTTCTTGTCAGGCCCCACAGCCTTCTCCGACACAATAGCCTCGCCACGCGTGATCATGTAGAACCGCGTGCCTTCGTCTCCCTGGTGGACAATGTACTCGCCATCACTGAAGTTTGCTGGCCGCAAGCACTTGAGCACGATGTCCTGGTCCTGCGCACTCAGTCTCGCGAGCAACGGCACCTGCTGCAGCATCAGACTCAGGTGGACTTGGCCGATGTGCTGGAAATCCTCCTGTGTCAAGTACAGGAGCTCAACGTCGCCAACAGCGCGCACAGTGGCTGTACGCGGGTCATCGTAGATAAGTGCCAGCTCGCCGAAGTAGTGACCCGCTCGCAAGTGTGTGATCATGCGCTCCTGCGTCTGCCCCGCGCCTGTGGGAGTCGATCCAGTCATGCTGTTGCTGCTCGCGACAACCTTCTTGGTCACAACAGCCTCTCCCTTGGCAATCATATAGAACCGCGAGCCACGCGTTCCCTGGGCCACGATAACCTCACCGTCCGAGAACTTGCACGGCTTGAGCGCGCGCACCACCTGCTCCTGCTGCATCTGACTGAGGTTCCGGAAGAGCTGCACCTGTCTCATCACTTCATACACGGGCATGTTATCGCGCAAGAAGGGCGTCAGGGCCACGGGCTCATCGTCCGCGTCCTCCTCTTCCTCGACGTCGTCTGGAGAGCTGAGCCACGACGCCCACCCCGTCATGCTGTGCTGGCTGCTGTTGCTGTTGCGGCCTCCGCTGCTGTGCATGGCCGAGAACGACACGCTGTTCCCTGTATGGGACGACACGGAGGAGCAGGCGCTGGCGTGGCGCGCGCGTTTGGGGATGGAGGGCGGCGACAGCACGGCGTCCTCGGGTTCGTCCAGCCAGTCGCTCACGAGCTCCTCGCCGCTGCCCACGAGGTCCTCGTCGGACGAGCTGGAGCTCGAGTCCACGGAGCGCGAGTCCGAGCTCGACAGGTAGCCGGACTGCGGGGACTTGGGCGACTGGACGATGTCCATGGACGGCCGGAAGCGCGACAGCTTGGGCGGCGCCGGCGTGCGCGACATGGAGCTGCGGCGCTTGAGCGGGTGCGCGTCGTCCGTCTTGACGTTGCGCGGCGGCGACGGGAACGAGTCCACGGACGACACGCGCGGGAAGCCGCCGTCCTCGTCGTCGCTCTGCAGCTTCAGCGGCTGCAGCTGGTGTGCGGACGGCTCCTGGTCGTGCGCGCCCGACGAGGAGCCGAGCGTGTCGCGCACGACGTCGCCGAGGCGCACGGAGCCCTCGCGCTCGTCCTGCTGCACGGTGTCGTCCTTGTGGGGCTCGAGCGTGGGGCGCTGGGCGGACAGGAGGCTCGGGCCATTGGCGCTGCTGTCAGCGGCGTTAGAGGTGACGGAGGAGGAGGCGGAGGACGGGGACGCGGCGGGGAAGGCGGCGGACAGCGTGGAGGAGGGAGGGCCCTCCGCCGCGTCCCCCGCGGAGACGTCGCTCTCGCGCCCGGTGCTGAGGCGCTGGCCCATCGAGACGGCAGCGAGTGCGGAACTGATTGGCGTGATGGCTGAAAAGATTGGGATGGCATGAGCCAATCAGAGCGCGCAGTTCTGACTCTGGTGAGGAATTACCATGATCCAGTAGAAAAACACTGGATCGTCCCCCAATACAGTTAAAAAATCCTAAGTACGCCCGGCACGCCTCTTGCGAACCTATCAACCATTTATGGGCTAACTTTGAGCTCTCGGTTTATTTGCGGGACACCTGAAATAGATACGTGGGAGGTAAGATTTCGAAGGCTAGTGCTAAATAAAAACCAAGTAGACTTGAATAATAAATAATTCTCTAAAGGGTGATTTACAGCTATATTCTGCTGCATTGTGCAAATGTCCAAGTCAAGAGCAAGAAACCCCCCAAACTACGGCTCTGCTCGCTTTTCACTCGACGTGTCTGATCTCGAAGCTGCCAAGGAGTTGGGACTACTCAAGGACGATGTTGCAGTCGAGTCGACGAACTCGACAAGCTCAACGTATGGCTTGGCCTACCAGCTCCGAGAGAATATTGCCAATTCAGTCATTCTTCACAAAAAGCAGTCCACAGCAAGTGCAAAGATTTGGCTGTGAGGTGCGGCTTCCAGATTTTTGTGAAGCAAACCAGTGTGAAGGCCGACAACTCCGGTAATGCGAAATTTGCGTACAAGGCGCTCAATGTAACGCAATATTTCGACCGGACTACACCAGCTGCCCAACTCACGTGTCCGTTTTTCGTGAATGTTCACGGGAAATCGGGGAAGTGGAAGATAACCCAGGCAAATTTTGCGCACAATCACCTCAAGTTCGTTGGTAGTGCCAAGGGTCCTTGTGTGGAAGGGTCCATCCCGTTGCCGTCCAAGCCCATGCGGAATACCACGCAGCAGATAAGCAAGCTGACAGCGATTGTCGAGACCGAGATGCTTCCCGCCCACGATGGATCTACGGCTTCTATGTCAGGCGCCGCTATCAGGAATTTTCTGAAATCGAAAGGAGCGGACGTAAGCGCTACATCGGTGTCCAGAATGAAGCCGAAAATTGACGACAAAATTCACGGCGACTTGGTAGAAAGTTACCAAAAAATGCGGGCGTACTTCGAGTTGATGGCGCACAAGAACCCCGGATCGGTTTGGAGAGTGGAAACTGCCGCGGACGGATCGTCGTTTGGTCGAGCGTGCTTCATCCCTAACGCTGGTATTCACATTGCCCAGAACTGCAAAAAGATGGTCGGCTTTGACGGGGTCCACCTTAAATAGGAAATGTACGAACAGGGCATTTATCTGGTAGCTACCGTGAAAGACTACAACAACCACATCGTTCCAGTTGGACTCGCGCTGGTTTCACAAGAGGACAAGGCCAATTGGATTCGGTTCCTGGGAGCTTTCAAGGAGGCAGTTGACTGGGAAAAGTTCACGATATTGTCGGATAGACAAAAAGGTCTGCTTCCAGCTGTCGCGACAATTTTCCCAAACGCTGGCCATCGATACTGCCTGCGGCATATCATGGACAACATTAACAGGAAATGTTCCAGGTTGTCCCAGGAAGACCGTGCGTGGGTATGCCGAATGGCACGCAGCGACTGTGAAAATGACTATAAGCTGTATCGAAGTGAACTCGCCGTGAACAACCCTGCCGCTGCGAATTTTCTGGACGGAATCGAACGTGCTCACTGGGTGAAATACAGTTTCCAAGAAAAGTTTAATCTCCCGACTTTCGACGAAATAACCTCAAGTTTGTCAGAGCAAGCGAACAACTGGATGGGTATAGAGCTTCGGACCGCCAAACCCTTGGACGGATTCCACTTGTACTTCTTGAAGCTGAGTCAACTGATGTCTAAAAGGCGACAATTGATTGTAACGTGGACAAAATCTGGCGCACTCTCGGATTTAGTCCCCAAGTTGTTAGAGCGACGTACAGACCGCCAAGCTGCAGCTGATATGTGCGAGTTTACACCCCTTCTCGAGGGTGCGTACAGCGTCTTGTTCAAGGGCCCTGTTGCCATACCAGGATATGTGCACCCAGACCGGGTAGTGGATTTGCCAGCGCTGGAGTGCACGTGCGGCAATTGGCAAGACCAAATGTTCCCTTGTGTCCACGCAGTTTGCGCTGCTTCAAAGGATGGCCGACGAATCGAAGATTTGTATGACGCCAAGCGTATGTCGATCGAGCACTTCCGCGATACGTACATATTCAAATTTCTCCCTTGCCCGACAACAGCAACCTTACAGCGGGACGACACAATTCTTCCTCCACAACTTGAACCCACTCCTGAACGGATTGGTAAAAGAGGGTTGAAGCCGGGGAAGAGGCCACAACACAAGCGAAAGATTGTGAAAAACGCGCTGTAGGGACAAGAATAAGCTTCGTCGGGCAAAGCCAATTTATACTTTATCGATCTGTATTTTTGACAAACAACACTTCATAATTAATAGATATTGTTCTTTCCGACAATTCTAACCAAATATGCAAGTGTTGCTGAGTCATATTTGGGTAAGGTATATTAAAAATCTAAACCGATAGATCTCTAGTGTTGTGCCCTAAGAACACGCGAGTAAAATATTTCGTGAAAATCTCTTAAACTCTAGAAGGAGTAGGAACTCTACGAATGTACCACTCCATGGTACACCCTTTTTGTATAATTTAAGCCGCAATGGTGCAATATGCTACTGCAATCTGAATTTTGCAATTTAACTACGTTAAATTTAGCCAAATCACAACCTGACCTCCGGGCTGAAGTCTACTGTATTTATTTTAAGGCAACACTTAAAATAGAAATAGACTGCGAACTACATTTTCAGCGCTTCGGCAAGCCCCATTCTGCTTTGTGCGCAATGCCACGCCTTAACCCACGACAGCGCCACGCCCGGAACATCCAGCGCCGCCTGGACGGCTCGTTTTACCGTCTCCGACTGAATCCCGGTATTTCCGCTCATGACGTCAGCGACGAAGACACCGACGAGCAGGAAGAGGAAGAATCATCAGTCGGGGGTGGACTCCGAGAAGAACGACGTAGGGGTGGTGACCTCTTCGCAAGCAATCGAAGGGCCCAGAGAGGCGTGGATGGGCAGCTATATGAGGTAGAGCGAATATACGCGAAAAGGTGGATCAACGTAAGAGTATATTATCTCATCCAACGGGTTGGGTACCGGGAGCTTACATGGGAACCGGGAAGCCACGTTCCGATGCGCCTGAAGCTACGGTTCAAACGCGAATCGATCGACTTCATCTGGGTCTACCAATCGACAAGAGGGAGACGTCGGACTCGCCATCGACGACCGACACGACGCAGCGCAAGGATCCAGTCTCGCAGAGAGTAGGTAGATACGTCTTGATAAATACGCATCACGAACTTAGCAAATACTGTGACAGTAGTTTGTTTTTCGGTCGGCCTGGGGGGCGATCCAGTACTTTTCTACTGGATCATGGTAATTCATCGACTCTGGTTATGCGGGCTTGCTTTGCAAGTGCAAGAAGTGCAAGGGCAACAACGTATTGCCGTCGGCAACTTGCCAGCAAGCCACGAGTTCATGCGTGGTTCGATATTGTACATACATGCAGCAGTTTGACTGAGAGGGCGTGGCCGGACACGACTACGCCTACGACAAGAACTCCATTATCCACCCCCTTATGCCTGAGTCGTACTGGCCTCATTTGCTTTGTGTGGTTTATTACAGGAGAATGCAGCAAGTGTGCTGAAATTCGAGACGATGACCCGAAGCGTCTGAAGATGTTTCACGACGACCTCCGCAGCAATGATAGCCGACTCCAAGTTCCCGTTCTCCGCTAAAGCTGCGCAACAAAATCGTCACCTGCCTAGGATTTCAATAAATTGGACGTGGCCCCAATGTCGAGGGCGGGATCAAACATCCAGCGACGACGCTTGCTCGTAGTCTCCGGAAACTTTGGAGAATTGTTCACCGCGCCCACAAGTTCAGAACCAGGGCCGAGTAGCTAACGTTAAATTTATTTTGGATATTACCTGAACGCGGGTTCACACACCATTCGACTTCCGCCGGAGCCGGATCTCTGCGTAACTGACACACATACAACTTGTACGTTGCGTAGTTGTCCTCTTTCCAGCATTGGGCAGATAGATAGCAAGATGTTTGGAGCTTTCTCGACGTATCGTGAGACCAACGCAACCGCGAGTCGATCCATGTCCTTTTCGATAAGAACTTTGCTATGAGGTCTTCTGCCGTTTCGACCGCAATAGTTTCTGCTAGAGCAGAGGCATTTTCGGTTGAAGCGTATTCAGATCGGACGCTGCATCTGGTGTTTGATCCAACTTATCGAAGCTCTAGAGGGGAAAGCTTGCCATCGTTCGAGCCATTTGTGTTATTAATAACTCATTGGCGAGAGTACTGCAAGGAAATAACACAGGGAAACGTAAATTATCGTAAATTATCATGGGGTGATGAAGAAAGAAGGGAGCGATGAAGTGGCGGAAACACGGACGATTGAAGCGGGCGCAGTGTAATGTATGGGTGAGCCATGGAGCCATGTTACGAGAAGAGTGGACCGGTATCAGAGGCAAAAGTGCTGGAAGCCAAAGAATGGTTTTAGTTTACGACAGGAGCATTGATTGATGAAGGTGGTCACTCCACCAAACTTTCCAGGCCTGAGAAGGCAATGGTATCTGCAGTAGAGCTCGAGGAGAATAGAACGATAATATCTTGTTGTCTGTATTGACGTTGTAGCCGCCACTAAAGCCTCCTTCATCAGCGTTAAGGCGTACGAACTCGTATTTGCACCCTCTGGAGGCTGCCCCGTCGGACGCCAAAGACCTGACTCACCATAACTTTCTCGATCTCCGCCTGACGGGCCTGCTCTTCCTGGCGAGCGGCTTATTCCGCAGCGGCAGCAGCCTTGGCAGCTTTAGTTTCAGCAGCAACCCGAGCGTCTTCTTCTCCCCTTCCTTCTGCTCTTCTTGGTCGACACGAGACTCGGAGGATGCTGACGCGACTGGTCTTGGTGGTCTCTGGCCTCCTCTAAATCGATGAAAATACTTGGAGTGGCGGGATGAACCAGGCTGGAGTCATTCGGGTATAGCTCCATAACCAAAACCAGCTCCAGCGTAGTTGTGTACGTGGACAGCCGTGAAGTGATTCCCACCCGCCGCCGCAGCAGCAGGGGCCCCATCAACCATCCGCGATGCCTGCTGGGCCTCCTGCATCGCAGCCGCGTAGGCAGCCCGACCGGTGTGGGCTGCCATGATTCGGTCATTCCGCGCGAAAATATATGCCCTGCGTAGACTGCCTTCTTCCCTTCTTCTTCTTCCGCACGCGGCCAGCGTCCTTTGTCGCTGGGTTTGAGCGCTTCCGCTTCTCGCACAAATCGTGACCACACCCAGCCAACCAGGCTACCCCCAGAAGATCGAGCTCGTACGCATCAACTCCCCCGAAGAAAACCTCTAAGACCGCCACAACGCAAATTCAGAACTGAGGCTTGGAGGCTTGAGAGAACTCACTCTGCTTTCTTTTCCATTGAAGACCAACTCATCCGTGCTTTCTTCGCCTGTGTGTGCAAGTAGGGTGACGGCTGCGCTGCCAACGCTGATCTGGTGCTTGCGGAGCCCTCGACAGTGTAATGTTGAAGCCCAATGGGCATTGCCCTCCTGTACAAGTCACCACAGCGATCACCCCAGAGCACCAAGCCGAAGCAGCTTTGTGCCCGTTGTTGAGACGCTCGATTTCGTCATCCTGTCGATGACGCAAGCCTACATGTACAGGTGAGCCTTCATGACTGCACATCGACACTTTCGATCTTGCCACTTGCTCCGCAGATCTCCCGATCAACATGGCCGCCAAGCTGTTCACGCCGCTGACGCTGGGCGGCAAGAAGGACCCCGTGCAGCTACTGCACCGCGTGGTGATGGCGCCGCTCACGCGCCTGCGCACGGGCGAGGAGGGCGTGCAGACGGCGCTGGGCGTCGAGTACTATAAGCAGCGCGCGACGCCCGGCGGCCTCATCATCGCCGAGGCCACCAACATCTCGCCCACGGGCCGCGGGTCCTGGGGCTCGCCGGGCATCTTCGCGCCCGAGCAGGTCGAGGCCTGGCGCCACGTCACCGAGGCCGTGCACGCCCAGGGCGGCAGGATGTTCCTGCAGTTGTGGCACACGGGCCGCGTCGGGCACCCGCTCAACCAGCCGGGCGGCGTCCTGCCCGTGTCGTCCAGCTCCAAGCTCGAGAACATCCGCGCCGGCAAGAAGATCGTCACGCGCGAAGGACGCATGGAGCCCGTGCCGCCGCGCGCGCTCGAGACGAGCGAGATCCCGGGCATCGTGGCGGACTACCGCTCGGCCGCGGAGAACGCCATCAGCGCGGGCTTCGACGGCGTCGAGCTGCACGCCGCCAACGGCTACTTGCTGGAGCAGTTCCTGCACGACGGCATCAACGACCGCACCGACCAGTACGGCGGCAGCGTCGAGAACCGCGCGCGCTTCCTGTTCGAGGCACTGGAGGCCATCCTCGAGAGTCTGGACTCGTCCAAGGTGGGCATCCGACTGTCCCCGTTCGGCGGCAGCTTCGGCGACAAGGACTCGGACCCCATCGCCACGTACACGTACGTGCTGAACAGGCTCAACAACTACGACCTGGCCTACGCGCACCTGATCGAGCCGCGTGGCTACCACGTGCGCAACCCGCTGGCACCCGAGAAGGGCTCGGCGCGGCAGTTCCGCGAGACGTACAAGGGCGTGCTCCTCGCCGCGTCGGGCTTCGACCGGCAGTCGGCCGTGCAGATCGTGGAGGAGGGCGCGGCGGACGCCGTGGCCATCGGCCGCCACTTCATCTCGAACCCGGACCTGGTGCGGCGCTTCCAACTCAACAAGCCCGTGAACGACTACGACACGGACACGTTCTACCTCGGCGACGCGCGCGGCTATAATACCCGTTCCTGCAGGACGAGTAGGTATAGCAGTAAAGACGACGTAGACAGCAAAAGACGTGCTACTTCCGTAAGACTGCAAAGTGAAGCGTACTGGAGGTGGTTGCGTACTCTCAAGCAAAACAAATTCTTGCTAGTTAAAACTACCGGTAGTTGCTGCAGGCACCAGGCATGTACTGTTACTGCCTCGGTGTGGGCTTGAGCGTCTTGTTGGATCACTTGGCGCGTTTAGTGGGACGGCCTTCTTCACCCTCTTGGTTTTCACGTGCTCGTTTCTTGGATGTTTCCGTCTCGCCACCTTGATCGCCCTTACTGACACCCTCGCTAGTATCACCGACGTCGCTCTCATGGTTAGTCTTCTTCTGACCCGGCGCGTACGCTAGTGCCTTACGGGCGCTCTGCAACAGCTTGTCGCGCGTCGCGGTAAGCGACAACTTCGCATACGAACTAACGTCCTTGTTTCGTTTTTCATCTTCATCGCGATAGTCCAGGTCGCCCTCCACAAGCCCCAGCGGGTCATACTGAGACTCCACCATGTTTGATAGCATGGAAGCCACGCCGTCGCTCAGGAACGGGTAGGTGGCCCTGTTGAGTAAACGGAGGCAGATCGTGAAAACAGGATCCTCCTCCGAGACACTCGACACACTTAAGACGCCAGGATTGCTCTCGATCTTCGCCCGCTTCTTCGCCTGACTCCCGATCGTCTGACTCTCCTCCTTCACCTCAGAGGCGTTGCCTTTCTTCTTGGGCTTAAGATTGTCTTTCATTGTCGTGGCATAGATGAACTTGCCGTCACTCTTTCTACCGCGCACATTCATGTAGATGCGAATGGTATCACGGACATCCGTGGAGCTCAGCGGTTTCGGATCCCCACCAATTTCACCGGTAGATTTCCCTGCTGACGAGTTCCCATCACTGTTCTTTCCGAACACAAACCAGGGGCATAGTCTCTCCGTCGCTGCCTTGGAAAATTGGGAAACGATTCTTCACTTGAATCAACATCATCAACACCTCATGCCCCTCCTGCTCACCCCTCGTAGTCTCCCCACCGACTGGCCTGCTGTTGGATCTCTTCTTAAACATCGGGATCAACAAATCGGCTCCATACTGGTTACGGGGGGAAATACCTGCAGCTTGACGTCCCAGCAAAAACCAAAGCGTGTCTTCATTCGGCTCAAGCTGCAACTGCACAAAGTGGGTGAACCCCATGTACCAACCATCCCACTTCGAGCACCACTTGTTGAATTCTGGTCTCAAATTCTCCTTGCTGATCATCCTCTCGAGATATATCGGCAGCTTTTTCTTGCCTTGTAGCACCTTCAAGAATTGCTGCACCGGTACAAATTGACCGATCGTGTGGTAGCACTGGGAAAAGCTTTTGTCCCCCATCACACACGTGTCCATCGCCAGAAGCAGCAAAATCCGAGCAACCATCTCGCCAATTTCGCCAACTCCACCGGTGTCTAATGCTTCATCCAAAAGGAGGTTCTTGAGTTGCGGCAGGATATACTTTGCCAGACCATATTTCAGTTCATACCACACTTTCATCGCTCCTAAGGCGAGCACTGGGTCCGAAGCGTAGCTGGTGACGTAACCCTCTCGTTTGAAATTCACATAGGCGAGAATCGCCATGAAGTCGGCAGTCGACCGAGATGCCAGAGCCGACGTTGAATGCGGGCGCACGCCCAGACGGCAAAGCATGGAGGCGACACCAAACATGGTATCCTTGTTGTACGCATTTTGCGAAGGGGGAATCCCCAGTAGCAGCTTGTTCGCCGCAAGATTGATCACATCTTCTCTATCCGCAGGATTGGGGCAAGTGCTGTACCACATCGGACGCCCCATGCGGCACAACGCGTGCCAAGCTTGACTCGCATCCCCGGTAACGATTCTCTTGTACATAGCTATCTTAGCACGTTCTTGCTGTTTCTTTTTCTCTTCGTCTTCAGCTCCCACCGCAACTTGGGTTTCCTCTTTCGTTTCTTCATCTTCACCGGCTGGGTTTTCTTCACAGTATCGATCCCAGTGTGCATCCATTGTTTCAGCTAACACAACACGCGCAAATGATGCCAGCTCTCCATCGAAAAGCCGAGATGATGGGTCCAACAACAGCGGAGGCGCCCGGTCCGAGATCCTGGAGTTCGTATCAATCAGCACGCCGAAAATGCATCCACGATGGCCGATATTTTTGTTCACGGATCTGAGAGCATTTCGCAACATTCGGAAGTCATTCTTCTTGCCTCCCTTCTCAGCCAGCAGACTTCTCGCTTCATCGATCACCAGAACCACGATTCTGCCATTTGGATTCTTCTCAGTAGAGGTATCCCCCTCCAGCGTATCTGTTTCATCCGAAAGTTTCGCCTTTACAGAGGTGTCCGCTGCCTGTTCGGTAAACAGCTTCAGCCATTCCTTCTGAACGTCCGCCCAATGCTTGTTCGCGTAGACGTAAATTGTCTTCAATCGACTGGCGATGTCTTCCACTTTGGAGCCTTCTTGAAACAGCCAACCACGAAGCTCGCTCGTAGCCTTGGGAAACCCCGTCGACTCGTGCACACGGGCACACATGTACAGGACTTTCATGTTCAAGGCGCTCTTTTGAGCCTCAATCGCGAGTTCACGCACTGTCCGACTCTTGCCGAAGCCGGAACTCTGCACAACCGCCACACATGGCGCCTTGTACTTTGCAGGGTTGTACTCTTTCCAGCAGTCCCGCAGGTATTCTGCGAGGTCGTCTTGGGCCTTGCCGACGTACGTGACTTTAGTGAACGCATCCGAGAGTCGAATCATTTCGTCTTCACCAGGCTTGGTGATGAGGGGGTTGTCTTCGGGAACAAACTTGCCAGGAGGTCTTCAATCGTCTTGACCGTAATGGTTTCCGCAAGATCGACCGTCACGTCTGGGTGCTCGTATACGATCCCAATCTTCACCTCCAAGTATCCCTTAAATTCTTTCTGAGAGACCCGGAGTCCCGCGTCGCGATATTTTTTCAAATACTCATCGATGCGAAGAGGTTTCTTCTCCAGTGCTCCCTCGTTGCCTTCCTTCGCGTCCCCCAGTTTCGCGCTCAACTGAGTGAAGACGCTGTCGTCCACGAATGCGGCTATCTCCTCGACTCCAGGCTGCAGAGCGGCAGTGTTGCGGTTTGGCGAGAGAGTGCGACTTCTCTTTAATGTAGACCACATATTCGCTTTAATTGGACATAATCACTATGTAGTTTCTGTTTTTATTGGACAAAAGTATTTAGGCGCACATCTCGCCAGGTTTATTATAATAACACATATTGTACTTTTTGGCACTTCAGACTGTATTTGTGCTTTGCAATGATTTTGGCAATATGAGGCGAGATTTGCTGTATTATTACGACCACCTGCTAGATTTACGATAAATCGAGGTGCATAAATGGGTGGAGGCCTAGAATTACGCTAAAAGCGCCATAATTGCACTTTCAAAAGTGCAATTGTGGCTGTGCAGCTGCAATTCTGTCGGTTTTTATCCACAAGCACCTACACACACGGCAATTATGCATAAGAGGGTGGATGTGCTGGGGATCATGGACGGTGGTGTACTGGGCCAATGCATGGCTGCTGACAGGCCCTCCCAAGTCGATATATATATGAGGAGGTGGATTTATGCATAATTTTAGCAGGCCGTGTATCTTCTTTCACACATATTTAGGAGCAGGCTTTGCCATATTTAGCGTCTAAAATGGTCGGCAAAATAAGTGCAAAGCACAATAACTCGTACGACTTATCGAGCACGACTATAAATCGTACTCGAGTACGAATTGCTGTAAGTCGTGGATGGCCAATCACTTGTGTCGAGCATTTGTAAGACAGTTTGACGACAAATCAAATGTAGCAATTTCATTGGATAATATTGTATTATGTAGTTTTGAGTGTTGCTGCATCTCGGCTCGTAAATTGGACTGATTCATATGTGTGCGCATTTTGCCCCCTTTACTAGAGGCAGCGCACTTGAAAAATGTC